ATATGGTTTAAAACGCATTATTTCAGCGCGATAAACATGATAATAAGAAACAAAACAGATGTTTTTTAGCAGGTACGAGCTGTAATGGCGCAGCTCTATTCTAGAAAAGGGGGCGGGGAGCAGCAGCTCATTTGCATTTAAAGAAACAGGCCCGAAAAACAGCGTGTTTCTGCTTCCACTCAAAATAGGCATTTTCAAAATGATATAATAAATGATCTGTGGAGTATTTTGAGCTGAAATTACACAGACACATTCTGGGGAGACCAGAGACTTATATTACATAATATATTGTAAAAAGGGGCATAATATGTCTCCTTTAATGCTCTTATTGTGAACAACTCATCCATACATGTTTTATTTAAAACAAATATTTTGACCTTGTCATAATCAAAACAACTTCTCTCTGGTGATGTATGCCAGATTTCTCTAATCATGTAGTCTGCTTAAACCCTGCCCCTTTCTTACAATCGCCCGCAAGCTCACATTTATTTCTGCCTCCATCCAATCAACAACTGATGAACAGAACCAAGAACCGCCCTACTTTTTTTCTACATTATTAATAATCAATTTCACTCAGATGTATGTCACAATAGAGAAATGATCTGCCGCTACTTCCGTTGCATCATGACTTTAAGCCATCATTTGTCTTTCTCTCAAGTGTAATGCATTACACAAGGACCAACTTGCAAAATTCAATTCAATCTACAATATACTGAAATGTTGCAATTAACTAGTTGTATTGCTGAAAGAAAGTACCAGGAAAAGAAGTCAGAGAAACAGAGAGATGCATCAGAGAAAAAAAGACCCACCACAATTCAGTATGAAAATAAACGCAAGACCACTGTAGTATGTAAATCATCAATAACCTAATCGCTTTTTAGTTTAACTTATACTTGCAAGCACTGTGAAAATATAAAGTTTTGTTGTTTGATTTTGTAAATGGCTTTTAAAAGAGCTTCTGCATTTTTCTCTTGATACAGTATCCACCTTATTTTGCAAAACAATAAGAAAAAATGTAAGCTGTTTTCTTTGAATGTGCGAGACTTACAATTCATTAGCTGTAAATAGCTATAAAAATGTGCAGTAAACTGTTTGGAGACTTCCGATTCATTAGCCAGCTATAGGTAAATAAGCAGAAGAATAACAAAGTGCAGTAAACGGCAAAACTATTTGACCTACAAACCAGTGAGTTTATGATTATGATAGTAAATTAAAATAACATTATAACAAACAACAATTTATGGTATCTTGCAGCAAAAGAAACAAATTTTTGCACATTCAAGTTAAATGGCTGCTCGCGTTCTTACAATGGCTGCGTCCGAAAGCTTAGGCCTTTCACTTGTTGCCTCGCTGCCTTATCAGGCAATGACTTTGCAGGCAGCGTTTGTGCATGAAGGCACTTCATGAAACTGATTTCGGACAGGCTTCTGAGGCAGAGTTTTGGTGATAACTAAGTGAATATTTAATTACTATAATACTGATTTCTCGCAAGAAGTAACAATAAAAAGTGCAAAAAGTTGGTCAGAAACATACATTTTCACAAACTGACCACCAAACGCAACTTTCAGACAGCATCTTTATTGTTTTTAGCTCAACCATCACAGAATGGAACGCACAGGACTGTGGGATATCAAAGGCAGAGAAGGATACATCTATGCTGCCTTCAAAAATCGATAAGATGAAGGCATCTCAGGAAACAGGAAGTGAAGCTGACATTGGTGCCTTGCCTTGATGCCCTCCTGTTTTGGAATGCAGCTCCGAAGGCAGCATTTTTCAGCTTTTGGACGCAGGCTCTGTTAAAGTATTAGTTCACTTGCAGAATAAGAATTTCCTGATAATTTACTCAACCCCATGACATCCAAGATGTTCATGTCTTTCTTTCTTCAGTCGCAAAGAAATTAAGGTTTTTGAGGAAAACATTCGGATTTTTAAAATACAAATGTATGTACTTTTTAACCACAAATGCTCGTCTTGCCCTAGCTCGACTTCACGCATTACGTTGTCATGTTGGAAAAGGTCACACGCGTTTAGCTCTTCATCTGTGTACTCTGGTTCAGAAAGGTAGGGTAGGGCGAAAAACTCCATCTCATTTTCTCCTCCAACTTCAAAATCATCTGTCATCGCCGTTTTACCTTTTTTGTAAAGGGCGTTTGACTTTCTTTGCATGTTCACTTTGTAAACACTGGGTCGGTGCTTCCGCCTGCGTCACGCGTGACCTTTCCAATGAGACTACACAATGTGTGAAGTCAAGCTACATTTTTATTTTTTTATGAAAATGACTGATCGTTTCACTAGATAAGACCCTTATTCCTCGGCTGCGATCGTGTAGAGCCCTTTGAAGGAGAAGGGTCTGGCTGCAGACTTGCACTTGCACTCTCAGACTTGCACTCTCAGACACTTGCGCTTCCGCTAGCGACGTCACTTGCAGTCTTTTAATTTTTAATTTTGTTCTATTTATTACTTTTTGTTTGAATCTCTCAACATTTTACAACAGTAGCCAGGTGGTGAAGACAAGAAAAAAGAAACTAAATTAC